TATGATTCAAACTTTGGACACTAAGAGGAAAATGTGGCATCTCTTGTAGGGGTAAACTGGAATCAACAATGCAGGTTTTTTAGTATGCCGGTAATTTGGTGGTGTTTTTGCTTTGGGCGTGGTAGCATGCCGGTATCCCCAAAAAAATTGTGGGGCGGGGCGGTGCCGGTAGCAGCCTTTGGGGGAAACTTTGCAACTCTACCTTACACTACGACACAATAATTGAGAAATCACGAGGCAGTTTACCCTTCATGACGCAATGCCTCTTGCATCAGGCCAGCTTAGCCGGATCCCAACATTTCACTGTTATCAGTACGAGACAGAAACTACTTCTGGAAAATTCGCAGTGCCCCACGGCGCCATTCGGGTGACAAACAGCTCTGCGAGTTTCACAGCGGTTTACGCGGCGGGGCCGGGGCGCTGCGCAGCGCTCAGCCGCTCACCGCTGGAAGACCTGACAGGCGTCGACACAGATCCTCCCAATACAAAGACGCCCGACAGCCCGCAGGTCGCTGTTAGAGACAGCTCATACAAAATGGAGCACCTCGCCGGCTACGCGTGAGATTTGTCAGGAAAATCGCTGCCTCTGTAGGCCCGCAGAGAATCTAATGTGAAAGGCTGTGGCCGGGGCTGGCATAACCGCAGTGCAGCATGCAGTGACGAACGCTTTAATTGAGATGCATCAGCAAAGTTATAACGAGTGAGAAGTACAGTATCCATGAAGGTAGCGGGACAGGGAGAAGCAAGACGTTATCGCTCAAGTAGCATGCATTGTTGAACTATTTTAGCTGTGGCGATTGCAACATATATCTAAGTCATCTTTTTTATACCTTAGTGATTTCACAAGCTTAGGTGTCTGAGGTAAACAAGATTAAGAATAGAGCCTGCTTTGAGCTTAGAAGTGAAAAGTTAGGCTTCCGACGACAGCGCTTTACAATAGTCTGAACTGCTGCCGAAAATCTTCACCAACTACGATGGAAGTTGTCGCTGGTATTTGCCGTTTTACATTGTACGCGACCTTAAATTGCAAGAAGTTAACACGTCTGAATTCACACATGCGTGCGGCAGAGGCAAGAGAGCCAAAGCTGTGCTCCCAGGAGGCCCGAGGCCGGGGCCCAACGAGACTGTTCTGAGGATCCGACTTCCATCAGCAAAGCCAAAGTAGAGAATATTGGTGGAATGGGTCAAAGAAATTATCCCCCAGAGAAACTGGTTAGCACTTGTATATGCTTACCAAGCCACCTCCTAAACGGGTGAGGGACTGCTTATACTGCCAAAATGCCTCCCACAAAATGACCCGACAGCCAGTGGCGGATCCAGGGGGGGGCAAAATGGGCATTTGCCCCCCCAAACGGCATAATTTTAACATTACGCCTATGGACGATGCATGGAAAGAATCGATAAATTGTTATGGTTTGCCCCCCCCCCCCAAAAAAAAACTCTAAGCTGGATCCGCCTCTGCCGACAGCACAACGGCAGGCTCCCTGGAGGACCTAGATTCGGCTCTGAATAACGATTGTCTCTTATCTGGACGTCCGTAGCCGTGTCGTCGGATTTGTTGGATAGTTCCTTCCCTCGTGAATGCTCCCATGCGAGATCTATCATACCCACGTCGAATTCATCGGGTGTCTGGGGAGCACTAAATGTGCTGCTAGCTGCACGCTTCTAGGCAAAATAACGAAAAACCCCGAGAGAAGGTCCAGCTGGTAGTGTTGGCTATGCTATTGATCGCGCTGCCGTTATTGAGTGAAGAAAAACTATGCATAAAAACGTTTGATAAATGAAGTAAAATGCCTAGAGCGGCAAAGTCGTGGTGTAATCATGATAATATAACAAACAAAAGCAATTATTTCCTGAGTCAATTGTTCATAAATCATTGTAAATCTATGTTGATTTTATTGCAGTAATCAACTCGTGAACATTATGGTAACTTTCTTTGGGCTCAATGATACATATGAAACACCCTGAGACTCGACCAAGCGCGCACGATTCTATAACATCTCACACCTTTGATGCTTCTTTCACACGTAGTGCATTCTGGAATTGCCTACATATTAGAGCAACCCATCCCTACTCAATTTTAAAATCTAGCACACACCACCTCTGAACCACGCCAACAACACCAGCGCACGCTCCCATTCCTTATGGCCGAGGCTCGTTCAGCCGCCCCCTTATGACGTCAAGCTGTATCAAACACGACGAGGTCAGTGCATTTTCATTAGAGGAGTGTCGCCGCCAGCGGTAAGACAGAACAATGGAGACTGTCGGCGCGAGGATCAGACAGAAAGGGAGGGAGTCAGCACCTTCCAGCGCCTCACCGAGATAGCAGCGCTGAAGTGTTTGGGCAGACGTCTGGGAGCTCAAAGGAGAGACAGGGAGGGAGGGAGGAGAGAGAGAGAGAGAGAGAGAGAGAGAGAGAGAGAGAGAGGGAGAGGGAGAGAGAGAGAGAGAGAGAGAGAGAGAGAGAGAGAGAGAGAGAGAGAGAGAGAGAGAGAGAGAGAGAGAGAGAGAGAGAGAGAGACAACGAGCAGAGAAAGAGACAGAGACAGACAGAGACAGACAGAGACAGAGGCAGAGACGAAGACGGAGACGGAGACAGATATAATTTTCACTCTTCAAAACCAAAACAGAGACGCATGGCTTCAAAACGACAAAATGCTACAAAGTTGCCCAAGCTGTAGGACGCAGTAAGGAAACGCTGATGAGTGGCCCCAGACCGAAGTGACGCTGGCCCCGTCTGACGAGCAGCGTTTGGTATCCGTGTAACAGACCTCAGCTGGTCCAGTCCCCAGCCCGAGCCGACACGGCAGTGGTGTAACACGGCCACAGTTTGGCGACGAGCACCGTTCGGGGCGGTCTCCAGCCGATGTTATGGCCTTCAGAGTGCCAATATCACCGGTGGAAACGGGCTGACCCGCTGATGACAATGCTCCGCTATGCATACACAGCGCCGCGTCCAATCGAAATGACCGGCACGTGGCACAGGGCTCCACTGAATTAAAAACACGTCCAAATACCCGCGCCACGTGCCGCTGGAGACAAAACAAAGTGCACTTAACGCGTTAGCCGTTTTTTGTTTACGCAGTGCGGATAGCTGTTCTAAAATGTGTGAGCTTATTTCACTTGGAAATGTGGAATTATGGAAATCCGACTGCTGTGTGGGTTACTTAGAACACCATGTAAACAAGTTGATGTTAAATAACAAAACGGGTAAAATGATCTAAAATTTAAAATAAAAAGCAGACGGTTATCAACGATTGAATGTGAAAATAATTTTTTGATCTTGTAGACATGCATATTGCATACGGAAGAGCTATCCCACCAGCATACACGCAAGCCTAAAAAGGTCTCGAATCAGGCACCATAAAAACATTTTTGTTACTGATTTACATTATTTCAGGTTGAAAGAAGCCTGGTTTCAAGTTTCAACTATGCCACCGGAGTACCTCCAAGGCTGAAGAGAGAATGAGACAACCTGGAAAGTAAGGTAGCGTGCAGCCATGTCACATACCCAGCAAAGAATGGCGGCCTGGGAAGTCGCGCAGAGAGTCAGAGACTCGGCAAATAGTTCTAGTCCCATATTGCCAAAGTTCGGGACAAATCAGGACGACGCGGGGAGGGGGAAGGGAGAAACCATGCAGCAAGCGCTGCTGCACAGTTTAATCGTAGCACCCGGGTACTGATTAGCAGCGATTTTAATCTGAAGGAAGGCATCAGGTATGGTGCAAGTTTCACATGCTCAAGGCACATGAACAATGCATGGGCATTACGAACATATTTCAACCAATGCTCACTTTTTAGTGTTTATATTGTCATAAATGCCATCAATGAACATTTCACCAATCCATTAGAACACACTAATTACCTACTTACAGTGGTAATGTTTATTTTCTTGTTTTAAAATCCGCGGATAGTGGTTAAAATCAACAACCGTCGAGCGAGCTGGGATAACGGAGCAATCAACGCCAATTCGAGTCAGACAAACAAATGAAGCATTTGTTTCAGCAGAGTGAACAATGTCAGATTTCTGTATCCATCACCGATGAAATGATTTGGGGACCATACGAGTTTCGTAACCCTTCTTAATCCTTTCCGATCACAAGTGCAAATGTCTAACTGGTATGCATGCAACTCTTGCGTAACTAATCTTGACAAACGCAAAGCCAAAACTGAGCAAATACAGTGAGTGTTTGACTAACCAGACGGCCCGTAGTGATCCCACGTTTATACCCGAGGGCGATACAGATGTTGTTTTCCACGCCATATAACAGAGCTAATTCCACACTAGTTGGCATGGCAACCGAGCTACAACAGCTGGCTGCCTAATAGATGCGTGGGATGTCTTTGTTTTTGTGCATGCACGTGAGGAAAGCATCATCTTCTCAAGCCTGGCACGTGGCATCCTAATTCCTAATCCGTATAATCAGGTGTTCGGGAAAGAGTCCGTGGCGCCCAAGTAGGATCAGGATGTGTGTGAGGAAGTCAGCTTGTCATTATGCTTTCATTTACTGGTAATCATGAGGAGATAGGTGGAAAAGGCATATCGTTGCTACGATACTATTCCCGCAACCCGTTCCGAGGTTCCTTCTGTTCGGGATAATTCCGCTGTGTTACCGTCATGGACCAATTTCTCCTTGTCATGGCCCACGCTCCTTTTCCTGGCTACTACACCGTCGTCCCTGTCGCCCCTGTCGTCCCACCGTCTCGCCCTCCCTCTGCACGGTCCTGACTGCGCCCCTGGGCTGACTGCGCCGCTGACCCACATGCAGGGCGGCGGTCCCGCCGCCTCGCCCTCCCTCCGTGCCACCCTGACTGCGCCACTACGCTGACCCACCTGCAGGGTGGCTGTGACGGCCGTCTCACCCTCCCTCCACGCCCCCTGACTGCGCCCCTGCAGTGACCGCGCCGCTGACCCACCTGCAGGGCGACGGTCCCACCGTCTTACCCTCCCTCCATGCCTCCCTGACTGCGCCCCTGCGCTGACCGCGCCGCTGACCCACCTGCAGGGCGGCGGTGACGGCCGGCGGCACCTCCATCAGGCCCGAGCTGGACATCCTGCGCGTCATCTTCTCCACCATGATGCCCATGCGGATGACGTTAGCCACGGTGCGGAACTTGGGCTGGCCGTCGGCGCGCTTCTTGTGCAGGGTGTTCTGTCGGGTGAAGGTGGAGGCGAGCCACTCGCGGACCTCGGGCGGCACGGCGTCCTGTTGTACCTCCGACAGCTCGTCCTCCTCGTCCTCGGAGGGACACCGCCTGGCGGGGGCAGCGGACATGAGCGCTGAAGGCGCGGGAGGACTCGCCCTGCCGGACGCACCTCAGGTCAGACACCGGGACAGGGGCGGACACAGGCACCCGCGCGGGGGAGTGTGCGAGTCACCCGGTGATAAAGCAAGAATGTTGTGACGAGAGACATGCATAGTTGAAAATGTAAGCTTAAGCGAAAAGAGCGGTGTTCAGAAATTATATTTAAGTGTATATGATATGAAACAGTGATATTGTAGTAGAAGTTCAATAGAGCAGTAAAATGCAGAGCGCACTACATACTGGAGTTATCAGTGAATAGAGAACACACATAAAAGCGATAAATTGATATACACATTCCAACAGGGTTTGGATGGCAACAAAATAAGAGGAGACATGTGGCAGGTTCGAGGAGAGGAAAATGGAAATTTTACCATAATGGGCTTGGAGATTATGCTGCATCAATTCTAAAATTAGTTGTAACTTGACGAACGTTCAATATTGACTGTCATTAAACAACACTCCTATATATTTTTTTTCTAATGACAAAGTATGCACTAATATTAGAAGTATTTTAAGTACCTCACAAAAGTTATGTTGTGTGGTGCATGCAAGATAACTCCGTCTGCAAGTGCAAGATAGCGTGAATACCATTCCCAAACTGTGCTTTTAAATGAACGCAAATTATCTCAATTATAAATCCACCAGCGACTCGCGTCGTCCACTCCTTACATGCGTACGTAACAGCATAGTACCAGGAACATTCAGCAGCAGCTTCTATTATGAAGCAGTGTGGTTTCTCGCCGTGCTTTGTGCTAGCTGCTCGGGTTCGATAAGCGCGGCAGGCCCGCGGGGAGCCACCACGTCTCCTCTCACGCGCAATCGAACGCCACCGCTAAAAACACGCTCGCTCAGAGCACTTGTGGCCGCGCCGAGGAGCCACCGCCGCTGAGAAGTTCGCAGAGTTCGGCGACGGCGGTCACAGACGGACATTTGGTGCCGGTCGCAGAAATGCCAAACGTGTCTGGCACGAAAAGATTTATGCTCCGGCGGCAAGAAACGGTTTCGGCCTTCGGCTGTCTTCCCCCGAGCGTCAGGGGAGGTGGCAGCTCTTTCCGAGTTATCTGTCATGAAGTGGGATGAGTTTTCTAGAGATGCATTGCCTGGGCCAATACTGTGATTAAATGGCTAAATGATTGATCGTCAAAGGCTGAGACATACAGACACCAGTCGGGATTGCTTCAACATGCAATTGTAATTTTAATGCAAGCCTCAAAACTTCGATATTTTGAATAAACTGCTAGAAAATATGCATCTTTTAAAAGAAGGGCACAATATAAGTGTTGTAACTTGTCACCAGTTGATAAATTTACATATGTTTTATCAGGAATGGTATCGATAGGTATTTGATATGGCTGGTTGACGAGCCAGGCGGTTTTTAGCGGAGGGCGCGATGTGACCCCGATCAAAACACAAAGACGAACCAATGATAAACGAAAACGGGACGGAGCGAAATGACTGCTCACCAATCTCCCGCTTCAGGACCAGAACGCATTTGTGGCGGTAAAGAACATTCGGACACTGCAAATGTCACAAACAGCAGTGATTAAAGCGAACATATACCTTTGAGTAGACCAGCAAGCCATGCCATGGCTTTTGAAAACCTGCTAAGTGCTAAATAATATTTAATCTAGCATTTCGTTGGGACAGTTTGGGATAGCGCAGCTCTAACCCAGATATGTAAAATTGACTTGCTGGTGGATCATCATAGTAAGTTCGAAGGGGAGCACGTTATAAAAAATATATCAAACTAACTACACATAATTGAGAAACGTTCACGATATCCTACATATTTATTCACATACAGAACGTTTTATATTATAAATATCTTCAGCGATGTAAAAGTCAGAGCCCTGGCGTCCGTCGTCCGCCGGACTATTTCGCTCGCGCGGACGCCGTTCATCTCCTGCGGAGCAGCGTTCTTTTCGCGGTGTCCATCGGAGCGGAAGCAGCCGTCCCTCGTCTCCGACGCTATCGCTGACAGACTGCGCCGCGTCTGTATTCAAATGTGACGCGTGCGCGGCGCCTCTGACGCAGCGGCGATGATTGGTGACGCAGCAAAGACGGCTACAGACGCGCCGCGCTGAGATCCACACAAGATTGTACTTGTCGTGGGCTTGACTTTCAATGGACACAGGGCCGTAACGGAAATGAAAAATGAGTCCATTGGTCCCTGCCAGTCATTTACTGGCATATAGTCCATTTTAGTGTCATAATGACAGTTGGCATTTAATTATGTCTTCTAGTCAGTTTCTCGACTTAATCGTTGGCTAGAAGTAGGGTTAGCTTTCCGTTCAGTCCATCAAAAATGAATAAACAACTATTGCAAAACGATGTGCGGCTCAAAGCAAAAATTGTACCCGTCGGTACTAATACATCCGTAAAGTGTCTATATCCGCATCCGCTCGTCGTGTCGCAGCCTTTCCCAGGCTGGCGCATCTGCCTTTCTAGTCTGACCCTCGCCTTTCCCCGCCTGGGCCCGCGCCGGTCAACCGCTGAGCGGCGAGGGCAGATGGACGCCGAGATGAGACGTTTGCGGAAACTGGCCCCGGAACGGACGACCGAAAAGGCGACGGGCCGCCTCAGATGGCCGATTTAGGCCAGCCAGATCTCCCAGCTCGCATCGATTTGTTCTTGTCCACTATCAGATGCTCAATAAAGGACCTTTCCAAACTCTATTGCCTATAAAATAGAAACCAGTTTCGGGAGTGAGAAAGGACGCCCTGCAAAGAAATGATGACGTTACTAGTTGGAGATAAAACTTACTAGAATAGCAGAGAGATAGCATGGTTGCACATAGGCTTAGTTTAGTAGCGTCATAGCCTTCCGTTACACATTTCCTGGCTTATGAATGACCAGCACCTATACAAGCGTTGGTCGATTTCTAGAGTGATCGAGTCGCATAATAAAATTACGCCACATGATTTTACACAAGATCGCTTTGAGTAATATGTGATAAACCAGCTAGTTTGAAGGACGGTTGACTGACGACAAATGGATCATATCATTTCAAATGACCTCAGGTGCCTTGGGTGGGCTAATCGATCCACTTATGTAACATGTGGTGCCCAAGTAAGTGGTGACAGATACATACATTGGCCGGCCACAGCGAAACCTGGTGAGACAGACGGTGAATTTGGCTTGAAGAAGCGTCATTTGTGACATGAGAAAAAAAAATTGTGACATGAGGGCAAAACATTTAAGGCCAGACGGCACTATTAATTACGTTTGAAAGAAAAAAGTAGCGTGCCTCACAGAAACAAATAAATATATGGCTGAAGCTGAGGGAAAATATTTGTGTGAAGGTGAATATAACGTTTGAACCCACGGAAAAAGTATGACGTGACGTGTTTTGATATGAAGTTTCGTTGACACAAAACCAGCACATTTCCAGCAGTCGGCCTGGTGTAAATTCGCGCGTGAGACGGTCACGGAAGCGCCCTTGCCAACGGGGGCTGGCATGCAGTGTTCGGTCAGACATGGGTGCCGACCAACTTTGAGGAGGCTCCCGAGGGCACGCAGCGCGATAGGAGGTGAAGCACGCGCCTGCCGGCTCCCGGCGGCTCTCGGCTCCCTGCAGTCGGCTCCGAGGGGCTCCTGCGCAGCCAAACACGCTGAGACTCCGCGGATGGACAGACACGAGGGATCCGCAGACAGACATTCAGACTTACACACACTGAACGTCTGCAGACAACCACACATACACACTGAGCGTCCACAGACAAACAGACAGAACAGACACACTCGTTGTAGATAGAGTCAGAGGCAGATATAAGCATATAGTATCACACGTGCCTAGATGGAAAGCAAACACAGACACAGAAATGTAGAGCCTCCTCAAACAGACCTAGACAAAGACACAGACTTATCGAACCTCGCAAAACATTTCTATCGAACCTTCAGCGATGGTAGGCCAGACATACACACAAGCGCATCGAACCTCCGTAGATAAACGTCTACATAGTTCACCTACAGGCAGACATTTGCTAAGTATTGTTAGACAAACATATGCATGAAACCTGATGACCAAGAGTTGCAAATCAAAAACAATAATCAAATCTTTTGAAATCCAAAATTTTGATTGTAAAAGATCAGATTTTAATTATCACTTTTGAATTGCAACTCTTGGCCATCAGATTTCACAGGCAGACATACTGATCATCCGCAGAGAGCTACAGTCATACCAGGCCTAACTACACAGTATAAATACAGACATAGACATGCCAAGTCAGCAAGCCAGATGCAAGTTACAAACACAGACATAAAGATACGCAAACAGACATACCTACGTATAGACAGGCACACAGACTGACAGACATTGCAAAACAAGCCCATACGGAAGGCGCATCAGGAAAATCGGGCATATTTTTTGTCGACAGTGGTCAAGATCCAACCAGTCAGATGGATGACAAAGTCCCTTTCTTGGGGAAGGCACCTTCCCTTTCCCTCATTTGTCATTTCAGCCTGACTCGAATTTTTACAAACCTTGAACCTTTCAGAAAGACGCCTTTCGTCCTATTGTAATATTCCGGTAAGAATAAATAGTAACATTTCGTAAAGCCGCTTTTTAAGCTACGATTACGATTTTGTATTTACATCGCCCTTTCTAAGGGCTGCATTATTTGTAAAGGAAACTAATAATAGATCATGTGCACATATAAATTTAGGAAAACTTGCAGAGATCTAAGTTTTTTTTTCTGACAAGATGAGCCATCGGTGATAGCAAAACTAGCAGGGCCTGAGACGAAGTAGGAAAAACGCCATCGATTACAATTGAGCAGCTAAAATGCTTAATTCTGTGAAAAGGCTATTAGCGAAACAAATGTCTCAGCTCATTTGCCACTTGCTTACTTAAAAAATGGTGAAAGTGTTAAAAATAACAGAAAACAGATGAAATGGGGAATACAGCGGCTTATGACTAGGCAATGAAAAACAGTGTTGTGACCTGACATTTTACTGATGTATTATGCATTCCTCTGCATGCGTTTCGTTATAAAGTTTTCCACTTTTATTGGTAGTGCTCGTGGCACACAAGCCAAACATTATGGTTCATCAAGCGTTGTCAAGCGAGTTAATGATTGAATCAACATATACCCGAGTCCCATTTCTATTCGAGATTGATGTTCTTGTCTGTAAATATATGTAGGATGCTTTAATTGACAGTGCAATTAGGAGAACAAGAGCAGGCGTGATGGAACATAACCTTGACCACAATGTATATGGAAGATGGAAAAGTGAGAAAGAAACAGGATAAGTTAGCCAGGGGAAAGAGAAGCTGGAAAAATAAAAGAAGAAATAATGGCTACAGGCTGGTGCGTGTAACTGTACTTACTTTTCATTGATGTTGAACGTTTCCAGCACTCGCAGTGCATATTCAATATTGTTCTGTATTATCTCCGGTGATACTTCTCCTTTGTCTAGCATGCTGAGCAGGTGCCGTAACCTGAAACAGAGCATAGGCGGTAATCGCAGCCGCCTGATAGGCGAAACTGTAGGTAAAAAATACAAAGGTTGTGGCATTATACATTTCACATAAGTAGCAACGCAATAACAAATTGACTACTCATCCATCTATATCACGCCTACGTTTGTAATTGTGTCTATGAGCAATGTGTAATGTTTTATTTCTAACATATATGCCATTTACCTGACGGCGGCCCGGCCACACGCCTCCGGGTCCTGAGCCCGGGGCTGCAGCAGCTCGGTACTGTCGGAGAGCATGGAGACGAGCCGCGGCTTGGACCGCTTCCTGTACGTGTTGTTCCTCCGGAGTATCGTCAGCGAGCCGTGCTCTGGAAACGGGAGGGCGGTGTCAGTGGGTCTCCAATGGCGGGGGATGAGAGACACGGCAGACGGAGGGAGGCGAGGGAGGGGAAACACCATAACGACCCGAGGGACGATCCGTGGTGTGACATCCACACAGGTATACGGCACGGTGTCAGATTACGGGAGGAATATGATCACAGACAGACAGATATGGCGAGGCGGCTCTTAGAACTGCGGAATCTGGTGAGAGCAAGGCATAGAATATGATACATCTAATAAAAAGATAAGTAGCATAGCTGACAAGCAGTACATGACAGCGTCACGCGTTATTCGCAAATCATAAGCAGATGTGTGGAGCACGCTTCGTTTGCGGCGTCAGACGAGTGATTCATCCGTACGATTTATTCCACTGACAGGAACTAACGCTTCAGATGGGGTCAGTGGTTACCTGGGAAGCCCCCAGGACTGGATTAGGTATACAGTCTATTCTCATCCTTCCCGGGAGCAACTCATTCGCATTCTTATTCACAATGCCCTGTCGGGGCTGACGGTTTCCCCATCTTAGACAACCGGTGGTGGGCAGACCCAAAAGGGGAACAGTCCCCCCCCCCGGTGGCCGTTTTGGGCATTTGGTCGGCATATCTCATCGGGACTCTCCTGTCCCAAAGGGACATTACCCGCGACTGTAGCACACCAGTGGGTGATTAACTCAGCAGGCACTCCTATCCTCTCATCCCATAAACCTGGAACGGCCTTATTAAATCGAATGGGCCTTACTCAACAAGACAAACAATCGAACAGGTAAATGCCTGGCCTGGTGCGGAAGACGGGGTCACTTGGTCGGTGGTTACTTGATCGTGGTTGGTGGTTACCCGGTCGGTGGTCGGTGGATGCTCCCTCACCACCATGGCCGGTGGTTGGTGGGTGTTTACCCGGTCGGGGTCGGTGGTTACCCGGTCGGTTTCGGTGGTTACTCGGTCAGTTTAGGTGGTTACCTGGCCGGTGGCTATCCAGTCGGTTTCGGTGGTTACCTGGCCTGTGATCGGTCGGCGCGGCGGTCTGCGGCGCGTCGCTCTGTGTCGGTGCCGACTGCGCCTGGTGTAGAACCTGATGCTGCGGCTGTGGTTGAGGGTGTTCCAGCAGTGGTAGAGGAGCAGCTCTGCCGCCCAGTGGAGGCTTCTTGGACGGGATCGGAATCGGCGCCCCGACTGCGGTCGCCCTGCGCTCCGGTGCGGTGGCCACTGAAACACACGAGAGTGGGGAGAGCTGTCAGTTGGAGAGGTATTAGCCACACGCCAGTGCAGCATACGAGGGAATGGGGGGGGGGAGGGTCAGCTGCACAGTGATGCAAATGGGGTTCACGAGTGGCCATAAATACCCAAAAGTCAAGTTTACTAAATCGAGTTAATTGCGATATGGCCGAGTAGACAAATGTTTGGGGCATCTGAAATCACATGGTTTTCCTGTTTTTGTCAAAACCGGCCTCGTGTATAATCGTCAGAAGTCGTGACAATTTCTAGGTCGTAAAATGACGGTCAGACGCTCGCGAGTTCAAACGCCGCTGGTTTGCGTTCATTTCGTACAAATTGAAAAAAATTATGCATGGGAATGATCCCCAAAGCCTTCTGCTTCTAATGCCGGGTCACAAAAAGCCGTATCTCATTCGCTTTGGCGGTAACCTGACTATTTATCATCATGTTGCAATCGCAGTTTTTTACTAAGAAAAAAATGTTTTCGTTTCACCTACAGCACCTAACACAGTGTGTGCCCGTTAGTCCACCATACCATAGCCTTCCCTAATCATTTCTGAGTCGCATCGTGAAAGAATTAAGGCACTAGCACAGGGCTGACCGGCGCTACAGAGATTTTTGTCCGGGCGGTCGGGTGCCGCAGTGGGCGCGCAGTGGACGGGTGGGTGCCGCCGCGCGGCGTCCGGGCGGCGCAGCGGCGCGGCCGCCCGGGCCGCCCGCTGCGCCGCGGCACCCGACCGTGCCGGACGAAAACTTCTGTAGCGCCGGTCAGCCCTGTGCTAGCGCCTTAATTCTTTCGCGATGCGACTCAGAAATGATTAGGGAATGCTATGATATGGTGCACTAACGGGCACACACTGTGAGAAGTGCTGTAGATGAATTGAAAGCAAATATTGTTGGTAAAAAACTGCGGTTGCAACATGATTACAAATAGTTAGCTCACCGCCAAACCAAAATAGATACGGCTTTTTATGACGTGGCATTAAAAGCAGCAGATTTCGGGGAGCATTTTCATGTATAATTCTTGCAGTTTGTATGACATGAACGCACGCTAGCGGCACTTGAATTTCAAGTACCTGACAGTCATTTTACGACATCGAAAATGTCTCGACTTCTGACAATCCTACACGAGGCCGGTTTTGACAAAAACATTAAAATCATACTTTTTCAGACACCCCAAACATTTGCCTGACTGACCATATTACGATTTATTCGATTAAGTGAACTTGAATTTTGGGCCTTTTTCGTATTTATGGCCACTCGTGAACCCCATTTGCATCACTGTGAGCTGGGGAGGTGGCCACATCGACAAATGAGCGAAGGGGGATTCTTTCACAGCTGAGGAGGGGGATTACACCCTGTTTTTTTTTAAATAAACCTTAAATTCGCAATAATGTTTTGAGAGGTGACCCCGACTGTCAAAAATGACACGATTTCTGAAAAATCATCGCAGTACAATAATGAAATGAGGCTCATCATAATTACCATCCTCATCATCTTGACAGTTATGTTCTTCTCAGTCAGATCGACACAAAGGAAAATGTTCACTATCAGTATTGTTACGCCCGTTTCCGCAATGAATTTTACATTACATCTTTCAGGGTTTCAGCTTCCTCAATTCTGCTGCCCAGATTGGTGTGCGGTGAAAAGTGTGTGGCGTCTGTCCAGCCTCTGAAAATCCTAATACGATTTTACCGCCGGGACCAGCCAGTCGCAATTAACCGGAGAATCCCCAGAGTACGAACTGACCTTTAAAAAGGTCGCCACACTATTCCACAGCGAGTACCAGGGCATACCGAGTACCTACTGCGCACGTCCGGTAAGTGCCAAAATCTGGGCATTCAAATCCGCATCTTTATCAGCATGCAAGCTAAAGTAACTTAACGTAAAACACCATTTGGTTATTTACCAAAATGCGCATTTTACAGAATCGTTTATAAATTTCGTTGTGTATTGCTGCAAACATATGGGAAGGCATACGATGATGCATCAGGTCAATGGTCAAACGACTTGTCGAGGATAACCTAAAGCGGCTGCAAAGTCATCCGGCATGAGTGAAAACAGAAATCATGTCGCCTGTCCTTCAACATATAAAACTAATGTTATTATCAATGGAGACGGAGAAGCCCAGGCAGCCCAAGTTCAAAGAGTACATGCATGTGACAAAGGATGCCACCCGGAAACACGGCAAGTCGTCTCGAATACATTCGCCGCATTTTCTCAAGGCAGCTAGTCAGCATCTTCGAGACTGACGGGGACGACAGGCGGCGCGCTCCGTTTCGGCCGATATGTCATCAGGGAGTTTGACAATCATGTCAATCATATTAGTCATTGGAGAGCCAGTTTTCAGCGCATCAGCTCGAGTGAGAACAATAAGTCCCGTTCAGACGACCCAGACACAGGTCATCAGAAAATATTAGCGAGATGTGATGGGTTACGATACGAGCGCCAGCTACTGGCAAAGTCGGAACTGTCCTAGCTAGACTAAAATCGGCATGATATATTGTTTTACGCCTTTCGAGAGACGCTCTAAATACGGTAACAAATTACAAGACCCACGACGTGATGTGGATATTTCATCGCACAATCGTAGAGCGGGTGGACAACATTGTACGGCTACGGACAGAGCGGATGGAGAGTGATGGGTAGGATCGGTGGACAGTTGCGGGCAGGGCGGCCGGACAGCGCGAGGGACATCTGTGGACAGGGCCAGTGGACATTGTGGACAGCACGGGTGGACAGGCTATGGACAGGGTCGGTGGCCAGTCGGTGGACAGCTGTGGAGAGTGGACAGCGCAGGGGGACAGCCGGTGGACAGCTTTAGAGCGTGGACAGCACGGGGACAGCGCGGGGACAGCTGCGGACAGCGCGGGGACAGCGCGGGGACAGCTATGGCACTGCTGGGCTAGTCCAGTGAACAATGTGAACAGCTTTAGAGCGTGGACAGCGCGGGGACAGCTGAGGACAGGCCGAATTGGAGTCGGCGGACAGATTACCGACTGATTTCCCCGGCGTCCTGTTCATCACGGCCGTTCCAGCCAACCGTCCACCGCTCTCCTGACAAATAGAGTGGGACGCCGCTGCACGAGCCACGATCGGCCCGCCGCACTGTCCACGGAGCACACGAAACTCTGCACTCGAGTGGGTGTCTGTATCTATGCTGGTGCATGCGACTGTAATATGGGGCATTGAGAGGAAACGAAGTCCAAGGTGGCGCTTCTACCTGACCTACGTTGTAACACGTTGTTGCGAGTTGTGCAATTCGCTTCATTTGCCTAACACGCGTTTGTCTTGCAAAACATGAGCTTGTCAGCACCATCCATGAATGTCAAGATTGTGTGGCCAGGTTGTCATTCCATGAGAGGTTCTGAGGTTTACGAGAGACTGCAATCTCTTGTCTTGAGTGATGCAGCCCCAGGGAGCCTTTATATTCCGCAGATGTAGACGCACACTGCACACATCTAGCAAAGCCATGGACCACGCTACCAAACGACACGCAGGAAAGGTTAGGTGGGCTTACATAGTTACTACAAAATAAGACGAGACCGAATGTTGTACGAGAAAAAAAAATGGAGCCAATGGCAGCTTTCTAGCCTTTAGGCTATGAAAAGGAACAGCTTTATGTACTGAATGAAAACTATTTTGGCAGAAGCCTGTCACTCAGAAAGCGAAAGAACCTAAAATAACTTCGCAGTTCCCAAATACTCGTTTCAGGCCGCATGTCGATCTGATCTCTGGGCCGCTGAGCCATTTCACATGCGCCCACATTCAGCATTTCTAATTATTTCCAATCAGCGGATCTGTGCGTGTCGTGCCAGCCACCATCAGCAGGATCGGCTTCCCGCCGGAAGTGACGGAGTTCCGCCGGAAGTGACGGAGGTCCGGCGATCGGGTCAAAGGGCTGCGGTAGGCTGGACCAGTAATGGCGAGAATACCCATACGGCAACGCAGTACGAATGCTGAATACTTACTGCGCAATCTCATACCGCATCTATGTATACCTACGTCAACCGCGGCAGGCTTGCACAATAGAGGAAAATTAATTCGGATTATGTTACAAGGTTTTTTTCTCATCATGTCATGGTAAGACAGACAGCCACAATTTCAAGGCTTTCAATCACCATTCCCAGAACAGATCCGTATGAGGTTGCGGGCACGGGATTTTGGCAAACCTTTGTTTAATCGGACACGAAATGGGTAATATGCTACAGAACAAAACGAGGTAATTATACAGGCAATTAGGAAAATTCACGTATCAACGGAGGCCATGACCCCATGATGGTCCTGTGAGGAAATTGTCCCTCCTTTTACTTATCTTGAATGTACTTATCATCGCTACATAAAAAATAAAACCCTTAAAACTCCACAACATGACTGACACAAAGTTCCACGCTCATGAACAGCCCAAATGATGGCAGTGGCAACAGCTAAAGATAATAACCATGACTAAACTGGACATTAGATCACACTCCACCAAAGATAAACGCATCGCCAATGTCAACTACAAACTAAAAGCCAATCTGAAGTAGAAATCACCATGGTCAATGCTGCTGTCATGTACCGAGCATTTAGGTGAATGGGAACGTGAAAAATTGCAACATATTTGGGGCAAGAAGATCAATAGTCTAGCTACCTCCTTTACGCTTTTTTTTTTTACAGAATCTCCGTCCGCACACCGTGTCATATGACAGCAGTCCCGACGTCAATCGATTCAGGAGGACCCACGACATTAGAGGGCCCGCATGCAGGCGTGCACGCAATGATTTATGCATGCCACGTAAAAGCTGTTCTGCAAGCTACTTCCAAAGCGTCGGCGATTCGTCAGAGCTGGCTTGATGACCTTGAAGGTAAGATACCACACAGTAGGTATCTTCATCAATGGCATGGGCAACAGGCTCGTTACACGATGCAAGAATTTTCTATGAATACACGCTAGTTGCTGAGGCTGTTTGGTAAGGCACATCTCTATTGGCAAAACAAATATATTATTT